TATGGACACGTTGTACTAGTACCGTAAAACAACATTGTCTGTTAAATGGAGGCAGCCAAGCGTGGATGCAAAAGATCCGGGCTAACTTTCCATGCATGACACGACCGAAGCGACGATGGCATAACTGGCAACAGAGAAAAAGGGCGAGATTCGTGCGTTCTACATTTCATTACATGGCCTCTCCTTCCACATCGAGGAGGGGCCAGTCAACTGTGTAGTTATCGCATTGGCCACTGCTATAGGCAAACTGCCCTGATGCTGGGTTGTTGTTGAGCTTTTCCCCAGCTGGTGTTAGGTCGATTTGACGTGCTTAGGTGAAAAAAGCGTCGTGACAACGGATGTTTACAATTTAGTTCGCATAACAATTTCTACTAATGCCTGCGGTTGCTGCTTCTATTGTTATTGTTTTTGTTATTCTTCGTCTGCTGTACATATGACGTTTGACATGGACAAATAACAGATTGTACACGTACATGACACTTTGTATGGCTCTTCTTCAAGTCGACCTGATTGGGTCATTGGATAGGAGCGACAAGGCTATTTGTCTCGGAACGGAGGGTCGAGGACAAATGTGTTTACTATACTACACGATAGTAATGTTTTGCTTATCTGTTCACGTTTGCGGCGCATTGTGGAGAAAGTACGACAGCTTGAGGGTCCACGATAACTAAATAGAACACACATAAAATCTAATTACGACCTGTCCTGACAACTTATACGATTTTATCTAACGAAGATATAAGACTTAACCCTCGTTCAGTTGCTAGTTCGGCTGCGCTTAGTAACGTCGAACAGTTTCGCCGAAATATACACGTACTCAACCTCACTTGTTTTCCTATAGTAGGCCTAGCTCTGTAAGCAATCATTTTTGGTACCTCGCGCCTTTCCTAACATTGGGAACAGCAAAAGAGCAGACTTCAGGACCATTCTTCTATATTCGCTATTTATGATCATATAGTATGGTACAAGTCTCTAAACTCGCGTATTATTCGTTGCGATTCAAAGGCCTGACAATGCGCCGGCATTTGGCAGGATTAATTCCCAGATACGAGAAGAGCACCCTGTAGAACATAATAGTAACGATAGCAAATGTAGTAGCTAGAAACAATAACAAATATTCGCAAATGTATAAAGAAAAAAGCGACCACGTTGAGTCCTTTGGACTGCCACTGACGAAAAGCGGCAGAACACTCTGCGAAGGGGACCTAAAAAGGGAGAAAGAAATAACTTACTGTTTCAAAGGACGCATCCAAGACAATCATCGTTTACTAGTAGTAGAAGGCTGCTGATGGAAAATTTTCGAACGGCAAAACGAAGGACCGCAGGAGCCGGGATGACTTTTCTGGCCACTGTACTCAACTACTACTGTCGCAACTCGCAATGTTGAACTCATCTGTAAGCACCTAATAAACGAAGATGGACAACAAGATCTTGATTTGAGCCCGAAAGGGGACACCTCAGACGGCTGGTTTCGCCCTTGCAATTGCCCTCCGACACTATTGCTCCTTACGGCCGTATCGGTATCCAAGGCTTGCCGCAGTAGCAGAGTTCTTCTGTTTTGCAAAAAAGCGGATTGTCGATTCTTCAAGCATAACATTCTTTACCATATAATTTTTGAAGGCTAAATGAAGTACCAATTCGGTTTCAAACATGCACGTATTGGTTACGAGTGACTTCCCGACCTGACATAAACGAGTCTCGTTCGCGAGAGATAACAAGATGCTATTACTCGAATATCTGTATGTAGGCGACTTGTGAGGTTTGGTAATGAGTTTTTGGGTAACGTATTGTTAAATGCTATCCTTACGTGCTACAATTATTACCATACCGTGGCATCCGTAGCGGCGCATTGCATAAAATATACACCAGGTTTCTGAAGGACGGCAAAGCTGTCCTTGCTTTAGAGCATGATTTTAGAGTATGTACCTGTTAAGTTAGACCCGCAGCAGCGCTTGATCTCCATCTTAGTTAAGCGGCGGAATTGAAGCCTAGATATACAAAAAAGACGTTGAAACACCTCTTATCTTGGGGGTTAATCTAATCGGGATCACTGCTCCAGCTATGTTTGTGTTTAGTAACGTGCATCCACATATGAACGATGAATGTATGGCTTTTCGTTTCCTCAAGAATATGGTCCTCAATCAAGCAGTCAAGATGGCGTAAGCGCAGCGCGACTTCCTCGGATCTTTGAACTTCCTTGGGCACGGGTTGCCAGCTTTTCCTTTACTCATGTTAATTTACACAAATCGAACGCTAAATCTTTTTAAATATTCAATAGTTTAATTATCGTATCTTCGTTGACTTTTACTAGTAACAAAAACTTTGGCTTTAACGAAATAATTTTATATAAATCTTTGCAGTCCATTTTTTTTGCTGTCTACTTTATATTGACTCATTGATTATCCAGTTATTTTTAGCTGTGTCTATTCTCTTATCTAGACGACGTGAGGCGTAAAACAACATCTGACGTTCAATACAACTAGAAGTTTGAGGATACATAAGGTCTTCGATATATAAAGACGTCTAGTATAAGCGATGAGGTGAGACGCTTGATCAAATAAATGTAAAACTTGATGTTCATTAAATTAATAGTCTGAATTGAATGTAAATTGTTCATTGGAATATGACTGAATGCTTGTTTTGCCCGCAACGTTCGATCGACTATTATATTAATTGTTAAATTATCTAGAGTCTACATATTGCCATATGTTAAATGTACCTTGCCTTATTCTCTACATATTGAAGTTAGTGCTTGGAGAACTTCTGAACAGCTATGTATTAATGACGGGCGTTACCATACCTAATTCCAGTATCTATAGTTTGTTTGAGATAATCGGCCATCCTAGGAAACGTTACGCTTCCTGTGTGCGCTCTGTAAAGCACAGAAGCAATCAAAATCACGCGAGCTTAAATCTGGAGAATATAGGGACCGAAGTCATCGTTTAATCTCGTATCCTTAATTTAGGCCGTGAGTAAAATGTGACGATGAAGTCACATCGTTGTCAGTATCGTTGCGTACTGCCGTTTGGCGTTCTACATGCTCATAAGTCTGTTAAGGAATTGGAGAGATTGGGCAGCACTCATAATTTTCCGGCGACACCTTGTAATAATAAATGCTCTCCACATTCATTTCGAATATGTGTGCTAGAATCTATTCGTTTATGTCACCGACATCGTTTTTGCTTCGCTTCGGCGCTACTCTGTGGTCTGACCATTCTTTATGGAGGCTCGCCGATGCTTCAGCTCTAGCAAAATTATTCAATACTTTCAGTAATAAAAAAAAGAATAACCTCTGATCCATTATCATACAACTTGAACGATCAATACAGATTACCATGTTTCGTCACTTTGACATTCTATATTCTAGCCTTATATCAGAGTTTAAATCAGTTGGTTGCGCACTTTGACATCAGTGAAGCTTTGGTATAATGGATCGAAGATTTCTTTTAAAACCGGGCTTTCCTTGGTCAGGTTACGGGATATATTCGGACATCCCACGCTCGAGCTGCCCTCAGGGGACCACTCTTAGGTCAGCGATGCGTATCTTAAGCAGGAATTCTACCATGTGCTCGTCCATATCTGTGAGAATTTACACAAATGATGTTATTATATCACATACGCAAGGAAGCAAGAGAGTTGTGTCCTTTTATAGAAGACTGTAGACGCGTTCTTAGAATTAAAAGTTAATTTTAACCTTAAACTACAACCATGTGCACAGGTATTTGTGCACATATGTTTCCTGTCCTATATCTAGGTCATGGTATATGCAAACCAGAAGCATGCGTATACCGTTAACGAAATCAACTTGTTCATATTACATGGTCTTCGTAACATCGGAGTATGCAATAGACAAATACACCAAACATGCTACCACTGCAATACCCTAAGATCCGAGGCACTCGAGCCAGGCCTTATACTTCTTCCATGTTAATATCTTTACATTTCCAGTTTTATGTCCGATATGATCGCTAGACATACCATCAGGCTGTTGGCGTAAAACGAAGACCAGCACAAGACGAAATGTATCCATGCCTGGGTTCAAACCTTGGCCATAACGTGTCCCTAATATTAGCATGCAAATACGTCTTCTACTAACCTTTCACGGTGCTGATACTTACGCTAGGTTTTTTGACGATACTATACGTTAGAAAGTGATGCAGCAACAGTGCAATATCCTAGTTAGGACTACATCAGCTGTGAAAGAATGTATTTAAACATTTACAGAGTATGCCTGCATGCCATAAGTAAACAAATGCTCTTTTGTGTCCAAACAAATTTACCAGGAAATGTTTGCATGGAAGCTGTTAGAAATGCTTTACTTGCGTGCGTTGCCAGAATATGTTATTTCAATGATCTGTTTTTGAAGAATTTCATTTGGATGTGGATGTATTAGTGTAGCGTGCTTTTAACCTGACATGTTTGTAATCAAATTGTTAAATCTTTGAATAAACTGCATTATACAATACTCTATATAACGAACATACCGTTTATTCAGGGTGTATTACACCTGACCCCATGACAAAAAACAGACGTATCCTTGCTTGCTTTTGTTACCTATCTTAATGCATTGCTCTAGCGCAAGGGGACATGACTATAAGCTACTACATTTCCTTACCTTTCTCCTCATATATCGCTCCGTTGATGTCTCCATTGCAATCGTACTACGTATTAACGGTAGGAAGATTTTTCCTACTCTAAAAATTTGCTATCAGTTGGCCTCGACGCAGTCTAAACGACAAGGTATGATGTTTAGCCTTGCCTTCGAAATTGGCGCCGCGGGTTTGGCGGGCAACCATCAGACGGATGGAACATGCGCAAAGGGCTCTTCGAATGCCTCCTGGGTCGCAGACTTGGGGTGAGCTTGACAGGGGCACGCTCTGGCGCGGAGTTGTAGGGTACAGAGAACGTCGGGGTTTGTTCGATGGTGGCGCCAAAGTTTCACCTTCTGTCCGCAGTGAAGTGAGGTCCGCGACCAAGAGCTCACCAGATGTGGTCCGACCTTCAAGGGGGGGGAGATGTGCGCCCAGATGCGTGTTCGACCCCCGTGTTCAAGGCTGCTACTGTTCACGTTATTAGAACTATTACAGCTATTACCAAAACAGTTGCTATTTCATCGCGAAGTGACTGGATACTCGAGAAGCAAGTGAACACTCGATATTCAAATAAGTATTTTCACGGTGGTCCATCTTGTGAAAGTTACGTTTTTTTTTTTACGGTGAATCAAATTCTCTACGTATATTGTTGCTGTGGCTGTCCGAAAGCGGAACAGCAAATAAAACAGTTAAGATCAACATCAAATATTGTTTTCTATGCATAACGTGTAAAGTGCTCCTAGAGTGGAGTAATTCACACGGGTGTGAAGTGTGTTTTAGTGGGTCTGTGCTCTATACTAGTTGCCTGGCGGTTAAAAAACAAGGGCTGTGGTTATTGTCAGTCGTGACAGACGAAAAACATAAAAAGTGGGCTATTTCGACGCGTGACACAAAATGGGGCCCCGGTGGCGCCGATGCCTCGGTTTTGCCAACAGAGATCGAGTAATATGTGCTGTGGCAGCCACTGGTGTGACACTTCTATGCTACTGTGTAAACTTTGACACGTTTAACCAATCAATGAGCGAAATTGCTGCGGTTGTCTCCACTCCAGCCGCCATTATTATTAACAGGCCTTCATCGCGGACAACGAGTTCGTGGATTCAATTCACGAGAACAGAGTCGGTCAGCCAGCAAGAGACAACGTCTGCATCCACAATAGGTACTTACGACGACGAAAATGACAATACTAACACTAATATTCATGACACGCACAGTGGTAGTGCTGAAGAACTACAGTCCGCGCCAGAACATTGGAAAGCGAATGCGTCTGCTACCACGTTTGACGCGTCATCAACGACGCCATTGAGCGCTGCGTCGAGTCCGTGGTGGAGCTGGAAATTTGCGACTCTGGGGGGGGCGGCATTGGACGGTGACTTGCTGCATGATGATGTCGTTGCAATAGTTCGAAATCCCGATGTCGTCGGGTATGCAGACGATATTACGGTGCCAATCGTGTCACAGGTAAGAGGCCCAGGCGCAGATAGGACAGTCGATTTGTCTGGTGTTACGCATATCGCTCATGGTGGTACTGGTGAAGGTAACCAAAATGGGCTGGTATCTAGAAGTGGTCGGTGGTTTTTACCGGTGATGTGGACCAATGATTTCTGGGGAACCCCGATGGCCAGCCCGGACTCACACAAAAGTTATCGGCCGCTCACCGTTCTTACATTCAGGTGAGTAAAAAACCGTAAATATTAGAGTGTGGTGATTGTTTATTGCCTTGGTTTCCGAATTCCGCCTTTCATCCTACAGATGTGTGTGTCCTTCATCAGTACCAATTGCACAAGGTCGTCGGACAAAACAGTGGTGATTTGCAGACAAAATATACTTTTCATTGTATATGTATATTGTCCTTCCCGACATGAGCGTGTTGCTTTTATCGTTCCCACTGATTTTGAGGACCTCTTCTTTCATTTCGGTTCATATATCTCAGAGGACCCCTAGACACAAGTGGAAAAATTTATTGATAACGTTGAAGAACAGCCTTGACGATTGCAAAAAAGCTGAATATTTTAGCTTCTACAAGACACTAACTGACCCCGAATGGCTTTTGCCCACAAAATCGTTGCTCTAACTTAAAATGCGAATGAAGATTGAGAATACCATCAGTTAGATAACAGCTAACGAAATAAATGTCCGTACACTTGCGCAATTTCATTTAATCAATCTTGATAGCTGACGTATAAATTCGACCCTTTAAACTACGCGTGCTACCCAGAATTATAGCCAAACTGCTGATCGTCGTAGCACAACATGACGCACAGACTATGTAGCAATGTTACAAATCTCTCTGTTCCTATATTCGCGCCGATATGAACGAAATGTATGAAGACTGGGGCTTTGTCTTGCAGCACATCTTACCAATACGAATGCCCAAGCGCCGCGCAAAAAACACGTTTGGCTTCTTTCTTCAGGGTGCAGACCGTCGACAGTGCGAAGCCTCTAGACAGAGTTTGAATTTGTCGTCGCTTATTTTTCCAGCGCCTCGTAATCTAGAGTAGCAGAAGCGCGATGATACTCTATTGCAGCTTTTCGCTTATAATACACGGGTCAATTTTGTTGCAAGATTGAGTTGACCGTTGGCGTTCATATGCGCCTTAAGTTTGATATGAGGAAAACGCTTTCGGTTTATGCTTATGGCTGACTTCACTCCATCCACGAAATCCAGAGTCAATGGCCCAGCTTTTGCTTTATACTCTACAGAGAGACGGCGTTCCGGCGCACCGAGAATAGTATTCAATGTTTCTCCTTTTTCTCCGTAAGTCTATCTACCCCCTGACGCTTAGTTTTTTCTTGCTTCCGTCCTCCTTCGCTGACTTTTCCTGCAGGCATACCATGCACTCCACCTCCGCTTTTCCACTGTACCTTCTCTCGCTAGTTGTCAATGCTTTCTCGAAGACACAAAGACGCTTCACGCCTTCTAGACAGTCTATATAGCCACGGGGATATGTGGAGGCTGGAGGGTGAGAGGAGGCATCGGGCCTTTGTGCATGTCATACTACTACTGGGGATACCAGCAATTGGCCGCTGAGTACAGGAGGGGTCAAGGAGTAATGCGTTAGCAATACAGTGACAGTTCTAGCGTGTGCATAGTCTAGCTCTGTGCGTGGAACAAAGAGAACTACAGGCATGTCAAAGAAGATGACAGCGTCGACCATACGAGTAGCAGGCAAATTGGGTGGCCTACAGAATACTTTTCCCATGCTTACAGCCCGGGGCCATCACTAAACGGCCACTCTTGGCTTTCGTGTCTACTAGGCCAGGCAAGAGCAAGCAACAGGACAGAAGCAGACGCCCGTGTAGGGCTGGCAACTTTTGCCTCATTTTCCTTCCTGGTAGACGGAATTCATTCAGCCTTTAGCAAAGCTAAATGAGAAACTATGTCATTGATGATAATGGTGGTGTTGTTGCTGCTTCGCATCGTGATGATAACTGCTTTTGTTACAGAAGCAATAAAAGTAGGGTAGTGCCATCGAATTTTAGCTCAGTGATTATAAAATATATAGCCCGAAAAATGCGATGTTCTTAATCTATCGATAAGTGTCATCGATTCGGCACCGGAGACAGAGAGCAACTGCGGAAACCACAAGGCCCTAGGGTACAAACGAAAACAGAGCCTGAATGGACCACTATGCGTTCTTCAGTAACATTTACATATAAGGTTAAACATTTATACATTTATCAAATGCATTATGATTTCAAACGTTAGTTTGAAAACGGGGTTGTGCTTGAAAGTCCTATGTTACAATTTTTACGGACTATCGGTCTAAGCAAACAATATTGGCTTCATTATTCATGTAATCTCTAACTTCAGTTCAACATAGACCTTTCATGTGCATATCTAGCTTCAGTTTCACGCAAATATTTGCTGGCTTAATGATATTCCTTGATTATGCCTGGTATCTTGGTCGCTCTGAATGGATGTCTATATTACTTAATAATCTAGCCTAATTAGACAAAAAAAGAAAGAAAGCCAGCCTCGACTAAAAAGACCTTACGACAATCCATTGATGATAACAGTTTATCTAAAGAGCAATATAGCATTCTGTTGAGCTGAATTCGTTAACTTGAATAAGCGTACATCGGCAAGAATTTGCAAAAGAAACCCCCCGATATTGTCCAATCGAACCTCTTTCATTATTTTCAACAGTCTTCTACATACGCAATCGTCAATTGTTAATCTGTATGCATCTATGTATTGTTTACGTACATAGGTAAACGACGACCCGCAAAAGGAGTAGATTGAAAAACCGGGCGATAAAGAGATCGCTTAATATAGTCGGATCGATCCCTACGCACAGATGGCATGAATCGTGAGATTTTTTTGAAATAATTTAAATTAATTACCAATTTCTATAAATGTATATGATTCGATTAATGGTAAGTATAACTTAGCAAACGAGGTTTTAGGATTATGTTCCCCTGTAATATATCCCCTGCAAGATGGCACTTCACTGTATAAAATTCTCCATGCTATCGGCATGAATAAGAAGGCGAAAGAACAAACGTAAGCAAACGGACTGCATGTACCGTGATTGTTGACAGTGTATGCTTGTGTGTACAAAATAACAACCCTATGAACTGGCACCATGTCTGGATATATATATATATACAACGTAGGCCGAGCTTACGGCGACGAAATTGTCAGCAAATTAGCGTTTAATTCTTCAGGAAGGGCTAAAGTAAGTACTCTTTTATATGTAAATCTAACTGTTAAATTTAATTTAACGATTATACATGGGTGCGTTCTTTAAATGAGTGGTAAGAGCACTACTAAGGATCACAAAATTCAGTAACTTTTTATTTAACATGAATAGATCAGATGCTATCGAAATTTACTCCTACGAAAACGTTTTATGTTTATCAGTTGTTTCAACTAATTTTGAATTTAAACAGGTGTTTAAAATCCGATACAGCCGGCATCTCTGCCGCATAATGATCGTTTCTTTCTTAAATCCAGTAGTCGACGGTTGTTCCTATTGGTCCTTTCTTAAAATTCTATTACTATAGTGATTAGGAAATACAGAAAACATTTTCTCCATAGTACCTGCAGGGTAGATATGTCAATAAAAAGTATCATGTTAGGCGCTGTTGTATCATCCCACCAAAATCCACATTTCGCTGACTGTAGCTTTTACTAGCGTGTGTGTCTCCGTCCTGGGCTGTGTCCTATTTCGGAAAACTTGCGTTCGCGTGCTGGATAATGAAGTACAGCATCAATGGCGCTTATCTCGTGTTCTGACCAGGAATAGGAGATTAATCCACTTCGCTTCCCCCACAGGTACGCTATTTCAGTGAGTCTATCTAGCCATCATTGTCGATTCATGTGTATACATCTTGCCCGAATGTACGTGCGCGTTGATCAGTCGGCAGCTCCCATGCGCGGATTTACTTTAGCTGTCGGCTTACCAATGGCAAAAGGCCTCAATGCGTATAAGTATACAAAATGTACACTTCTCGCCTGTAGCACCTTTGTCTTTTCTTAGTTTCGTCTCGTGTCTCGCTGAATGTCTGGATCGAGATTAGCCCATGTCTGCTTCGCGGATCTTTGCGTTTCGTTTGTCGCCAATACCCCCGGGAACCGGACAGGCATCACCAAACATCGACGGGGGTTTGGTGAATTTGCTAGACCCATCGGCTGTCCCTGAACTGGAAGATTGGACCGCTGCCTCTTAGCTGATTTCTCTCAGTCAATCGGCTCGGTGGCTGCGACGCTGCGATCATCGTCATCTTGGCCGGCAAAGATTTCTGTTAGATATGTACTGCCCCTAACACAAACAAGAGGCTACCGCTGTATGCTGTCATCGCAGTTTAAACAAAATGAGAGAAGATGAGTTCAATCAATTAATTGGTCTAGTTTTCGAAAGTATAGGTAGACAGAGAGAGAAAAATAGAACAAAGGGGACATCAGGTAGAAAATTATGACCTGAGTAGATGGAATAGATTGCCTAGTGTTGACAGCGTTTCCTGAAAGAAAATTATTCTGAGGACAGCCCACAAGAGACAGAAGAGGGCTAACCGAGGTTATCGCGACGAGCGGAAATGCAGAAAAAGCTAAATTGTCCAAAGAATAAAAACTAATCGCAAGCGTTTTTTCTCGCAATACTGTTTTTACTGATGACAGTTACATGGGGGATAGAAAGGTGGGTGTAGAAAAGTTGTCGAAACTGCTATATAAAAATGCCGTACGGATAGGAGTATTATGCATAAACACCATTTGTCTCATAAACATGTCGTCGCAGACAGAGTGGTGTCTTCTCATTTGCAGATGTTACTTAGAAAGGTTTACAAGACAATTGATTTGATAACAACTAGACTAATTAGGTATTATGTACGATGCCGATTTCCCTAAAACGTACGCCGGTTCTTCTACAACCAGTTTAGGTTATGACTGAAATCAATTTTTTCAAGACCAACTTTAAAGCTCCATTGGGAACCTTTTGAAACAGGAACTGCATTTCATTAAATATTAGTACCTTGTCAATTTACGGGGCTAGGGGATCTCTTTTTTCTCCGCACGGCTTTCCCTATCTTTCAATTTATATTTTTTTTTTCTAATCAGTATATATGTATAAACGATATTTATCGAACTTCTGCGACGTGTGGAAATCGGCAAAGTCGTGAGACTAAAATTATAGATAGGTTCGTACTGATCCGATTTCGATAGTTCGAA